CCCGGGGTTGGCGCTGGCGCGGCCCGGGAAGCGAGACCCCGGGCGCGTGCGTTTGCAAAGAGGGGGAGAGAAAGCAGTAGAGGAGAGAGGCAAGAAAGGAGAAAACAGGAGGAGGGAAACAAAAAGCGGAGAAAGCGGGATGAAGAGGGAGAGCAGAGGAGACAGAAAACGAGAGGGGGGGGGGGGGAAAGGGGCGGCGGCGAAGACGACGACGACGAACGCCCGCGCCGCCGGCTCGCGAGCGCCGTGTCCCGCCCCGCGTGACCGGGAACCCAGGGGTCGGGCCCGGGGGACCAGACCAGGGGCCGGGGCCAGGGGCAGGGGCGGGGCCCAGGACGCAGGGGGTGCGCGCTGGAAGGGGGAAACGCTGGCGAATTTTTCCCGGATAGCTCCTGGGAGAGCTGAGGGTTTCAGACAAGAAGCCGGAGGTGGGTGGTGAGGGGGACACGCCCACCTCCGCCGGTCCACGATCGTCGCAGCAGCTTGCCGGAGTTCGCAGCGTGTCCGGGAGCGCTCCAGGCACGCGTCCACGCGTGCTAGCACTCGTGCAGGCACGCGTGCACGCGTCGCTGGCAGCGGTTCAGGAGCGCTTCAGGAGAGCTCTCCAGAGCCCTTCAGGGAATTTTACCTCGTAGAGCTCTTCGGCATCGATGAGCTAGAGGAATTCCGGCGCGGGGTGCAGCTAGTTGGCCGCTCGGCCTTAAGATATTTGACAATTCATTTTGAGAAAGCAGATTTTTCGTACCTGCAAACGATTATGAGGGCCTCTCTGTCTTAGTATGAGCTCTGTAGGCGCACTTTTACTATCAAAACACTTGGCGGAACCATCTTCATGTCGACACGAAAAAATCAAGTTTCCTTTTTTTTTTTTTCGAGAAATGCTTCCAGAAGCTCTCTCTTTCGACTCCGAGCACTCTTACGCGTGAAATGAGCTCTACGAGGTTCCCGGCGGTGATCAGGTTGACGGTTCACCGCCGGCGCCAGTTCCAGCGTCCCCAGAGCTCCTTCGCGCGAGGTCTCCAGCGTCTCCACGCACGGTAAACCGCGTGAGTCAGGGCGCTCCCGCACGTAAACCACGCGCGTGAGCGGCCCGGGGGGCGAGACTCCGGGCGCGCGCGGCCCCGGGGCGAGGACCCGGGGTTGGCGCTTGCGCGGCCCGGGGGGCGAGACCTCGGGCGCGCGCGTTCTCGCCCTGATCAGGGCGTTAAAAAGCTCCGACCTGAGCAGGTCGTTAAACTAACTCGTAGAGCTTCCCTCAGCAAGTTATTGCTGGAAGCTTAAGAGTAATTCCGGGGAGCTGGAGAGCTAGTTCGCAAGAAAAATCTCGACGGACCTTTTGCTGACTTTTGGTCGGTTGAAAATTTTGTTCTCGAAATTTGACCATTCGTTAGAGCTCTAGTATTTTTTCCCATGATATTCGATTCCCGCTCGCCATCTTGATCTCAGCTCGATCGGGTAACTTTGAAGGCCAAAAAGCAGGCAGGCGGGAACAACCGTTTCGAGTCATCTTGATACGCGCTGTGGGTTTTCTCAACGTAATTCGAGCTTGAGGAGAACTACAGAGCTTGTCAGCACAGCTAATATTCAGAATGATGAGGCGCGTTCGCCCGTTAAATCCAGAGGTCTGAAATCGGCCTGGTAGTCGAGCTAGGATCGGAAAGCTATTCGTATTATTCGAGTCATTGTAGCACGCTCTCGGTTTTTCGTACTTAACTCGATCTGTAGGGCAGCCACAGAGCTGATAATCACAGGAATCGATTGATAATCATCAGGCGCGTTCGTATGTTGATCAAGAGCTCTCAACTCGGCCTGCTTCCCGAGCTAGGTTCGCGAACCTATTCGTATTGTTCGAGTCATCTTGAGAATTGATCTCGGTTTTGCTGTACTTAAATCGTGCTGGGGGAGGGCTACAGTGCTGCTGGTTACAGGAATCGATTTCGAGACATGAGGCGCGTCCGTTCGTCGAACCGAGAGCTCAGAACTCGGTCTGCAAAACTGTTGTATTATTCGAGTCATCCTGAGAGGTACTCTCTGTTTTCTGCACTTAACTCAGGCTGTATGGGAGGCTGCAGAGCTGGTAATTACAGAAATCGATCTGCAGACATCAGACGCGTCCGCCTGTCGCATTCAGAGGTCTGAACTCGGTTTCATACTCGAGCTCGATTGGAAAACTGTTTGTTTGTTTCCTATCGCTTGGGCTGAAAAACTAGTCGTTCTCTGAAATTCTCTTCGACATTATATATTGTCAGGAAGCCCTACGAGTCCCCCGGCGGTAAGAAAGGTTGACGGTGTACCGCCGGCGCCCAGTAACTCGTAGAGCTTTCCTTAGCTAGTTATAGCTGGAAGCTAAAAGTAAGTCCGGCGCGCTGGAGAGCTAGTAACTCGTAGAGCTTCCCTTAGCTAGTGATAGCTGGAAGCCAAGAGTAATTCCGGCGCGCTAGAGAGCTAGTAACTCGCAGAGCTTCCCTTAGCTAGTTGCAGCTGGTAGCTACGAGTAACTCGTAGAGCTTCCCTTAGCAAGTTATTGCTGGAAGCTAAAGAGTAATTCCGGAGCGCTGGAGAGCTAGTTGGCAAGAAAAATCTCGACGGACCTTTTGGTGACTTTTGGTCGGTTGAAAATAACTCGTAGAGCTTCCCTTAGCTAGTTATAGCTGGAAGCTAAGAGTAATTCCGGCGCGCTGGTGAGCTAGTTGGCAAGAAAAAATCTCGACGGAACTTTTGGTGACTTTTGCTCGGTTGAAAATTTTGTTCTCGGAATTTGACCATTCGTTAGAGCTCTAGTATTTTTTCCCGTGATATTCGATATTATTCCCGCTCGCCATCTTGATCTCAGCTCGATCGGGTAACTTTGAAGGCCAAAAAGCACTCTGGCGGGATCGGCCGTTTCGAGTCATCTTGATATGCGCTGACGGTTTTATGAACATCACTCGAGCTCTAGGGCAAGATTACAGAGCTGGTAAGCACAGCTTATGCATGCAGAATGATCGGGCGCGTTCGCCTGTTGAACCCAGAGGTCTGAACTCGGTCTGTGAGCCGAGCTAGGTCTGGAAACCTGTTCGTATTATTCGAGTCATCTTGACAGACACTCTCGGTTTTCTGGTCTCAACTCGAGCTGTAAGACAGCTACAGAGCTGGCAAGCACATCTATCGCAGTCAGAATCATTAGGCGCGTTCACCTGTTAAATCTAGAGGTCTGAACTCGGTCTGCTAGCCGAGCTAGGTTCGCAAACCTATTCGTATTATTTGGGTCATCTTGATAGGTGCCCTCGGTTTCCTGTACTCAACTCGAGCCGTAGGGCAGCTACAGAGCTCGTACTCACAGAAATCAATTGGAAAGCACCAGGCGCCTTTGTTCGTTGACTCGAGAGCACTGAACTTGGCCTGCTGTCCGAGCTAGGTTCGCAAAACTATTCGTATTGTTCGAGTCATCCTGAGAAGTGCTGTCGGTATTTCGTGCTGGGGACAGCAATCGATTTGGAGACATCAGGCGCATCCGCCTGCGGGGACCAGAGCTCGGAACTCGTCTGCTGCCTGAATTAGGTCTGCGAAACTACTGCATTGCTGAGAGGTGCTGTCAGTTTTCTTCACTTAACTCGGGCTGTAGGGGGGCTGCAGGGCCGGTAATGATAGAAGTCGACTCGCAGACGTCAGACGCGTCCGCCTGTCGCATTGAGAGGACACAAAATATTTACTATGAGTCGGAATGTTGGTAGGTCCTCGGTGTTCTCAACTTCGTCGAGCTGGAAGCTCTACGAGTCTCCCGGCGTAACCAAGGTTGACGGTTTACCGCCGGCGCACCAGTTTGTACTCGATATTTGAACAATTTCGTTTGAGCTCTAGTATTTTTTCCCGTGATTATCGATCTTATTCCCGCTCGCATCTTGATTCTGCTCGTCGGGTGTACTTTGATGGCCAAAAAGCGTCCCGGCGTGAAAAGACGTTTCGAGTTCAATCTTGATTACGCGCTGTCGGTATTTTGTACTTAACTCAAGCTGTAGCTGCTTACAGAGCTGGTAAGCACAGCTATCGCACTCAGAATTATCAGGCGCGTTCGCCTGTTGAATCCAGAGGTCTGAACTCGGTCTGCCAGCCGAGCTAGGTCCGCAAACCTATTCGTATTATTCGAGTGATCTTGATAGACACTCTCGGTTTTCTGTACTTAATTCGAGCTTTAGGGCAGCTAAAGTGCTGGTAAGCACACCTATCCAGAATCATCACGCGCGTTCGCCTGTTTAATCCAGAGGTCTGAACTCGGTCTGCTAGCCGAGGTAGGTCCGCAAACCTATTCGTATTATTCGAGTGATCTTGATAGACGCTCTCGGTTTTCTGTACTTAACTCGAGCTGTTGGGCGTGAAACTTACCCCAAGCGTGTTCCCCTCACTTCTGTAAATGATATCCTTCACCTGTGTCATTCCGTACTAATGCACCAAATTCTGCCTTACAGTAAAAGCTCATTGTAGGTGAGTGTTTCGGGCAGTCTAGTGAGCCATGGGGCCCATAATCGAACGGGACAGGTCCCACAGTTTAGGTCTGTCCTAGTCTGAGCCCTGTAGGTCCACTACAGCCCGCCGACAGACCATTTGAGCACATGTGCACAAATGGTTCTTTGCCTTTTGAATGTGCATTGTAGTGTAGCAGAGCATTTGCGCATGCACGAGCGTAGAGCGCAGCAGGTGCACGAGAGGACTGTGGACTGTAACCACTTTGGCTCAAGACCGAGGCAAAATAATTACTGTCATCGAACCGCCCATCGATTCGTCACTGTCAGTATTGTTCTAATACCTTTCCAAACCAGTATTGCTTGGAATATTGGGCAAATTTGGTGGACACACTGGGGAGCATTTCATCAGTCGAGGTGCTCTCCAGAGGAATGAATCCAGACAGAAACGCCCCTGCCGGAGGATCAGGGCCTGCACGAGCGGGATCGGCGTCCAGGCGCCGGGAGCCGTACCGAGTGGGCTCGCCGGCGCGGCTGGCCCTGCCAAGTCCCGGGCGGCCGATGGACGTCGCCAGCCTGGCCGTCGCAGCTCAGGGTGGTCCAGGTTCGCGTGAGCCATTGGCCAGAGGCGAGGGAAGCGCTGGGCTGGCAGCGCCGCCGGTCTTCGGTGGCGAGCCAGCAGAGAGATGGCGTTTCGCCGAGATCCAGACCGTGGAGCGCCGAATCGTGCAGGTTGGCGTCGAGCGCCGCAACGATGTGGAGCTCCAGCAGCAGATCAGCACCTATGTGGCCGGCATCGTTGACCTCCAGCAGGGCAGGCACGAGCTGGAGACCGTAGGTATGCGCTTGAGGGTCACTGAGGCAGAGCTCGAGACGGCGAGGGACGGCCTCAGGCTCGAGTACGACGAGGCCAAGCAGTACTTGAACCACGAGAAGAGCGAGTACGAGCAGCAGATCCGTCGTGCTCGGCATGCGGCTACCACCCACATCCAGCAGGAGTTGCAGCAGTGCGTCGTGGAGCGCGACGCTGCGATGGTGCGGTCCAGGGATGTCCACAATGCCGAGATGCGGGTATTGGATGCCGAGGCCAATCACGTCTTGGTTACAGGTCGTGCTGAGAACGAGCTGCGGTCTGAAGTCGGAGCGATTAAGAGGGCGCGAGACACGCTTCAGGCCGAGTGGACCGAGGCGACCGAGCAGGTCCAGAGCGCCGAGGCGAAGGTGCAGCAGAGAGGCATCGCAAAGGACCAGGACTTCGAGCGTCTCAAGGCGGAGGCGAGCGACTTGAATTTCAAGTCGCAGGAGGAGTCCGAGATCGCGCAGTTGGCGCGTCGGCGGCTGACTACACGTGCCCAGTCGTCGGACGCCCAGCTGCGCGGGGAGCTCAACGACGGGGCCATGAAGTGCGAGATGGTGGAGGCCGACGCGTCCAGGCAGATCGCGGCTGCGTGGGCCGAGTGCGACATGAAGGTCGAATCAGCTCGGCACGAGGAGCGGGAACAGAAGCGAGGCGCAGATTCGGCCAGGGTAAATTCTACGCAAGCCAGGCTTTGCACAACACCGAGAAGGAATACTACGAGCACGAGGTCGACGAGTTGCGCGCCGAGTCCCGCGAGCTGAGGGACGAGAAGGCGGCCTTGGCGAGGGCGGCCCAGGAGCTGATGGACATCCAAGCTCCAGGACCGCATGAGCATGAGTACGCCGAAGGCCATTGGGAGCAGCAGGACGACATGGATTTCGTCAGTCGGACTGGACCAGTCGATCCAGGACCTGCGGTCCCACCAGGACTCTCGAGGCAGTCGGCGGCAACGCCGGGTGCGTCGTCCCAGGACGCTGGCATCGCCGCAGCCATGATGGAGTTCATGCGCCAGATGGCCGACCAGCAGCGTGCTGGGGTCGAGGAGCAGAGCGCGCTGCTGAGGGGGCTTACGCGCGCCCAGGAGAGCTTGGCCGAGGCACAGCGCGAATCCCAGTCGAAGCTGAAGCCAGCGAAGCCTTCGCTCACGGGCAAGGATGCGAGCACCTTGAAAGTCGAGCTTGAGAAGTTCCGCACCTACCAGAACGAAGCGCGCCAGAACAGCAAGGCGATCTGGTTCGAGGGCGCGAGGGCCATCGCTGAGGGCACCGCGAAGATCGAGCTCGAAGACATGATCGTTACCGAGATGGGTGGCGAGGAGGCCTTCCAGAAGCTGGTTCGTGTTCGGGACGATCCGCGATGGGACCTCTACTGGTCTCGCTACGGTGCAGTAGGCTTTTTTTTTTTTTTTTTTTTTATTTTTTTTTTTTTTTGTTGTTTTTTTTTGATTTTTTTTGATTTTTTTTTTTTTTTTTTGTGTTGATTTGTGTTTTTTTTTTTTTTTTTTTTTTATTTTTTTTTTTTGTTTTTGATTTTTTTTTTTTTTTTTTTATTTTTTTGTTTTTTTTTTTTTTTTTTTTGATTCTTTGGTTTTTTTGTTTTTTTTTTTGTTTGTTTTTTTTATATTTGTTTTTTTTTTTTGTTTGATTTTTTTGTTTTTTTTGTTTTGTTTGTGACTTTTTGATTGATGATTGATTTTTTGAATTTTTTTTGATTTTTTTTTTTTGATTGTTGTTGTTTTGAATTGATTTTGTTTATTTTTTTTTTTTTTTGTTGTTTTTTTTGTGCTTTGTGTTGAAGCGGGCCGTCCTCCTCGACGACGAACACGAGTCCAACGAGGCGGTCCGGCGCTACAGCAGGTTGTCCTTGCCCAAGGACGCGAACCCGGAGGGCGTTGCCAAGTTCTTGAACGAGTACACGGGCGTCAGGACCGACATGCTGAGGTACGGCCTCCTGACCGATGACGCGGAGAGCCCGATGTTGATGAGGGAGATCGAAGAGTTCAAGACGAAGATCGAAGGCAGCGCTCTGTTGATCTACTTGATGGACCTCCCTACCTTCCCGAGGCGCATGGCCATCCGCGAGGACGAGGACAGCAGCATGACCATCCTGGGCCGGTGCCGCCAGTACGTCAGGGCACGAGCTCGAGTGGGGCTCCAGTCGTCCGAGACGAAGCCGGGGCAGCTGCTGAACACTTCGGCCGAGCCGAACGCGAAGCAGTCGGCCGCGGCCAAGAAGGAGGCCAAGAAGCAGGAGGAGGCGAAGGTGGCGAAGGCCAAACAGATCATCGAGAGCCTGCAAGGTGCTTCAGCGGCCTCGTCGGGTTTCCCGCTCCCGCCGACTCCGACGGCGCAGCAGCTGGACAGCCGGTGGAGGGCGGCCCGCGAGCCAGACAAGGGCAGGTCGAAGGCCGAGGCCGCGCCGCGGGCCGGCACAGGCGACTGCCCGCGTTGCAAGGGCACGCACCCCGAGTGCTCGGTCTGCCCGAATCAGAAGGCCAGCGAGGAGCAGGGCTGGGACGTGACCAAGGCGGTGAAGGACGCCATCCCATGCTGGTACAAGCATTTGAACAAGGGCCAGGCTTGCGGAGGCATGGGTCACCTCAGTCGCCACCACGCCCTCTGCTACACCGAGAAGGGCGCCAAGGAGGCGGAGGAGTACCTCAAGCAGAAGGCCGACAAGGGTGGTGGCAAAGGACGAGGTAAAGGTGGCGAGCAGGGCGGTGGTAAAGCGAAGTCCAAGGGCAGAGGCGGAAATGCCCGCTTGCTCACGTTCGAGGGCTCGCACGCCACTGACCAACAAGAGCGGACGGACCGTGCCGCGAGGCTCCTGGCGTCGTTGGTGACGATGGAGACCGACAACGACATCGACAGCATCGGGGGCGAGGCCAAGTCCAAGAAGCTGTCTGATATGAATCTTAATTCGAGCGAGACCTTCGACTCGGACTTGTGGGGCCCAGCTCGCCCGCGCAGCTGGCTTAGGCGTACTTTGTCTCAGGTGCGCTATTTCACGGGGAAGGCCGTCATGTTCCTCCTTGGGTTCGCAGCCCTCCTGATGGTGATCGGGGTCATCGCTTGCGGCATTGAGAGCAGAGTTGCCAATTCGCCCTCTCCGCTGATGGCAGCAGCGGCGAACCACGAGCTCGTTCGCAAGGTCGGTCATCTTTCAAGCGGCGGCTCCAAGCATATGGTCTTGCAGGTGTCGGGCGGATACAATTGTCGAGCCTTCACGTGGATAGGGGAAGCGAGAACTGAAACAGTCTTCGATACCGGAGCTACTCGCAACTCCATAGACCGCGACTTCCTGAAGGCACTGCTCGAGGAGCCCCGGACGTCCAACTTCGTCGAGGACGTAGAGGCCATCGAGCCAATCACCTGCCGCTCTTTCGAGCGCGGCCAGACACGGTGGTGGTGAACCGACTCGCTACATTGAAGGTCTCTTTTCGCGAGAACGGTGCTGTCGCCTGCGAGACGGTCAGCATGGGGTTCCTTGTCGTGCCGAATTGCACCGAAGATTTGCTCATCGGGAAGCCATCCTTGGACAGGTGCGGGTTTGTCTCCGACCGTGACTCCATCGAGCTCAGGTCGCTCGGGGTTCGCTTCCCGACCGTGCTGCCAGGCGAGCAGGACGACCCGAATACGCATACCTTCCTGCGGTGCTCGGACCACATTGTCGTGGAGGCGCCGCCTGGCCAGAGCATCGTGAAGACGATCTCGATGCGCGCCCCGCTGGAGGCTTGCTCGAGCAGCCTTTGGATCGAGCCAGGTCCTGATCTACCCGACCATTGCCAGGTCATCGAGGGGCCGCTGATAGTCCAGAACGGCACCTACAACGTGGACCTGATCGTGCACGATCGCGTGCATCTTGGCCCTGGTCAACGACTACTTCGCGCCCGTGATGCCACCCAGCGCGACTTGGACGTCCTCAACGCTCTCGGCAGGGAGGAGTCCAGACGGGCGGCGGAGATTTATTCATTGTGGCAGGCTCGAAGCGAGGCCTACTGCGACTCAGAGGTCGAGACAAGTGCCAACGCTGCTACGTCGGCAAGTACTGCGACAGAGGCCCAGATGCTGAAGACGTCCTACAAGACTCGTGGAAAGAAGGAGCGCCACGAGGTCCTCTTCCCCGACCTGGTGAAAGAGATCGAGGAGGACAAGAAGAAGCCCGCGTCGGAGGTCAGCTGGCCGAACCAGGAGTCCGAGGCCTACAAGGACGAGGCTGAGAGGCAGGCAGGCCCTCTCCTGGGGCCGCAGCTCACGGGGAAGCAGAAACGCCGCTTCCTCACCAAGGTCGTGCGTGCATTTACGTGCTGTCTGTGGCTGCCTGGCTGCAACCCGCCGAGGGTCAAAGACTTCGTAGCCGACATCAAGGTCAGGCCAGATGCGGTGCCGAAGGTCACGCAGCCGTTCCCCCTCAGCAAGTTCGACGAGCTCCGTTTGCGCTACCACGAGGACGTCGAGGTCGAGGAGGGCAAGGCACGTTGGCTACTTCCAGGTGAGCGTTCAGAGTGGGGATCTCCTTCGTTCGTAGTGGACCAAGACAGCAAGGGTCTCCTCGGGCGCCCTGTCAGGGACTACCGATACCCCAACAGCTGCACCGAGGAAGAGGCGTGGCCGAGCTCGCGCGCCGACGAGTGCCTCGCACGAGCTCAACAAGGAGCTTTACATACGCAGCTGGACTGCATCTGGGGCTTCACGCAGATCGAGCTTGCCCCCGAGGCGCAGAGGGCTTTTACGTTGCTTACCAAGCGCGGAATGCTCCGACCTTTGGTCTTGTTCTTCGGCGCCAAGCAGGGGCCCGCGATTTTCCAGAAGTTGATGGACTGGACGTTCGGGGACCTTCGCGGCAAGGACGACGAGGAGTTCCACTCGGTGTTCATGGACGACTGCACTTTGTCTACCGAGGCGTACGAGCACGACGCCGACGACGACGTGGTGGACCGCCACATCGACCATTGCATTCGTTTCTTGCAGGCGGCCAAGGGCAGGAACATTCAGTTCAAACTCACGAAGTCCAAGTTCGCGCACGAGTTCATCCATCTCTTGGGTTTCAAGCTTGGGCGTGGCCTTCGTTACGTGGACCCAGGCAAGGCTGACAAGATCGAGAAGTGGCCGGAGCCCAAAAGCATCGACGATCTGGTCAGTTTCAGGGCTTACTGCAACTTCGTGCGCGAGTTTATCCCGAACTTCAGCTCGTTAGAGACGCCGCTCAAGAAGTTTATGAAGAAAGGGGCTAAGTTCGTGGACTACCAGAAGGACGCAGAGGCACAGAAGGCTTTCAACGTGCTCAAGCGCTCGCTCGCCCGTGAGGTGGGTCTTGCCACGCTGGATTACTCCGCGGCAGCCGACCCGAACTCGGTCGCCCCATCGAGCTGTACGTCGACGCCTCGGACATCGCATGGGCGGCTACCCTAGCTCAGCGGCGCGAGAAAGACGGTCCCTTGCGCCCAGTGGCCGTAGTCGGCCGCGGCTTCAACGCCACCGAGCAGGGCTGGAGCACGTTCGAGCGAGAGCTCTGTGGCCTCAGGGAGGCTTTGTCTGCCACCCATCATTTGACAAAAGGGTTCGTTGTAATAGTCTACACGGACCATCGGAATAATATCTTCACCGACTCGCTGTTCGCCAACAAGCGTATCTCCAAGAAGCTGTTGCGCTGGGCCCTCGACCTGGAGGACTTGGGCTCGCGGGTCGTTCGAGTTTGGCTGCGAGGTGAAGACAACGTTCTGGGCGACGCCCCTAGTCGCAACCCCGAGGACAGGGACATTTTGCATACTCTCCGAGTTCCTGGTGGACCTGTTCGTCGAGTCATAGAACAGATGTTCACGGCGCCCACGAGCGCAGAGGAGCAGGCGCAGATGGATCGGTTTCTCGAGGAGATCGATGGCGCCCCAGTCAAGCCGAAGTCCGGCAAGGTCGACGACAAGACCCAGAAGGCGAAGTTCGCCAAGGTAAAGCCTGCCGAGACCGATGACGCGGTCCCAGCCACAGAACGGATGGCTGCTCCCTCTACTTCCTCTTCTACCAGGTCGAAGTACCATGTCGGTACAGCGGGCCCGATGTCGCGTGGCACCGCTCCAGAGTATCCTGATCGAGCTGCAGACGTCGCTGGCATGGGGGATGCCGAGGCTGATGATCAAGTCACGTGGCCTTCCTCGCTCGATCAGATTGGCACCGACGGCGCGGACTTGGAGTACTCTGATTCTGAGCCGGAGGCTTACGCCGGCCTTCGGCAGTCCGTGCGCGCCTACGCGGAGGGCGACCCCCAGGTCGAGGCGAACCTCTGCAAGTTGGTGGCCAGCGTCGTGGACCCCGAGCGCGACCCGCTCGAGGTTCGCCCTGTTTTTGTCGACACGCACTCGTGGGACGGGTCTTATCCGCGTCACCCCCTGGTGACA